ATTTATTTATTTATTTATTTATTTATTTTTATTTTTGAGACAGAGAGAGGCAGAGCATGAGCAGGGGAGGGGCAGAGAGAGAGGGAGGCACAGAATCCGAAGCAGGCTCCAGGCTCCACACTGTCAGCACAGAGCCCGACGTGGGGCTGGAACCCACGGACTGCAAGATCATGACCTGAGCGGAAGCTGGACGCTTAACCGACTGAGCCACCCAGGCGCCCCAACACGTGATCCAAGGACTTGACATGGCACTGATCTGAGATCAAGCCTCAGGTAGCATTCTAAGTTGGTTATACCTCTAGTAGATTCTTATCACCTGTTCTTACAATGCGAAGCAAGGAAGTGTCTCAAACTATTTTATTCAATCCACATATTTAGGATATCTATAATTTCCCCAATGAGATCTCATTTCTAACATTCATTGCGCTAATTTAAAAGTTACTCATTTTACCCATAAAACCCACTTTTGACATTCAGAATGCTGGCAAAGCTTCTGTTGTAGAGAAATAGATTACTGAAGAATTTGTAGTCGCTAGGAGTGTGGTTCTTTCTGATACAATGCTAGCTGACCAGCCATGTCTAGAAGTAAAACTTTACTGCACATACATTATATCACTCAGGTTATAATGTAAACTACAGCTCTTATACCACAATATACGGCCCTGTATTATATACAGCCTTGTATAGCACAAGGTCCATTTTGTACTAATTATATTGGGCCTGATTACACTATGTGTGTGAAAATATTTCTTGGTAGCTAATGGAAAACAGAAACTATTGTGTATATGAAGCTATCTGGTTTATTTGGAAGATGCTGATATTGACAGGGTTTCTGATGCAGAGGCCCATGAATTCTTTCCATAGTTTAGAGTACAGAAGAACTCATGCTAACTCCCCTGTTTCTACTCTCAGAATCACTGTAAAATCAGGTGTGGGCTAACACCAGTGAATTTTCCAAGGATAAATGACAAAGAATAAGTGAATTTTCAAACCCCAATTGATTATTTGCACATAATACTTGCATCTGTAACTTCTCTGATTTAAGAAAGTTATATTGATGCTCTTAATTAATGTTGTCTTTAATTTTGCGGGTGGGTCTTTATATAGTCAACCTGTAACGCACTTTAGTGCATTACCAATTGGAGACCATTTCTGAAAAAAAAATCAATAAAACCTATATTATCTTACATTTTTTATCTTCTGAAAGCAAAACCTACATTTTCACCACTTCTTAAGAACAGATGTTCGATTTTTAAGATTTCTAAAACCAGTATTTACTGAGCAACCACTGTAGATAAAGCGATATACAGACCCAAAAGGATGACAGACAGAAAGACATCCCTTGACAGATGTTATGCAAATTTCAGAGTGCACATCAAACTGAAGAGGAAGAGCAGAGAAACAGAACTACCAATGACTTTTTAGCAAGCCATAATGGCATGGTATTCTCTTTAGAAATTGCCATTTAATAGCTTCCCAAAGTATTTTCAGACATAAAGTAAAAATAGAAACCAGCATTTAACTCTAAAACAGGCTATAATGTAGACGAAAGTTATATGCAGTAGCAGAGAAAAATGAAACTTGGCCGTTTTATGGTTGGTAATAAGTGGACACAAATGTATCAGGCACATTTTTATGGGAAGCAGCAGAGTTTTTCAAGGTCAACTCCAGAAGACATTATTCCTTTCCTGCATTAAACAATGGCAGCATCATTCAGGGCTAAGTAAATCTTCCCAAGGCTTTGTTATGACTAAAGAAGCCTGACTTGCGGATACAAGTTCAGGGTTAGGTGGTGGACACAGTTCTGTATTACCGCTTCTGTTTCTGAGGTGGCCATTACAAGACCACTTTCATTTCTAGTGTTACCACACCAAATCACTTCAGCTTCTCCCTGGGCTTTTATATATGTGCTGTTTAGGTCTATTCTCTATAAAGAGAGCAGTACACTGAAGAAACCAATTAACTCTGGACAATAACAAGGGTTCAAGGTGTGACAGGAGCACCAAGAATCATTACTGGTTCAAAGTCCCTTGTGTAGTAAAAACCAGTAATAAGAAATATAATATTTAATTCCCTGCTTTTTTTAAAAAAAAAGTAATGTCTCAACTGCACAGCAGCCAACTAAACTTTTCAATGGCTGAGGAGCCAGGTAAACCAGAACATACCAGAAAATACTCCACTAGAGATTTCCATGCAAATTAAAATGTATGATTTGATATTTATAAACACACAGCAGAAAACCTGATATTTGAAGTCTGCAGGGCTGGACTAGGGTAAGTCAGAACAGGAGTAAAATTTAAAGGGTACCAAAAGTTAGTAATCAAGATAAATAATATTTTAATGCAATGTTTTTAAAAATAAAAATCAATACAAAAAATTCATGATGGACAAAACATTACATTTCTAAAAAAAGAATGTTAAATAAAAAAGTGCTTTATAGGACGACATAAGAGCCAGAGGCAAAAAGAAAAAGAAATCAACAATACCAATTGTCTTTATTTAAAATTTTTGATATTTTGTTCATCATGAGGTTTTTGCATTAATTCTGAACTTTTAAAATATTGCATTAAAATACTGTTCATCTTGATTGGAACTATCTAACATTTTGCTATCTAGGATTATGCCTGGCTCAGCTCACTCCAGTTTTGGCCCTGGGGGGGTCAATACCAGTTCCTAGAAAGGCTGTGGGAGCAAATCTGGCCTCCTGGGATACAGGTGCTGTGGGCAGATTTTCCCCCAAGGAAAGGGCTGGGGACAGAAGGGGGACAGCTCACGTCTGCGGCCAGATCCCAAGCCTACCTCGCTTATTCTGAGTGCCGTGCTTCTTGGCCAGGGCGAGTTCTCTCTGGATTCGATTTTCCAGGTACTCTTGTTTCTTGCTCAGCATCTCCTCTGTCTCCCGAAGTCGGGCCAGGGCCTCCTGGGGGCTGGGAGCAGCTCGGCTCTTAGAAGAGCCTCCCCCTTTAAAGAATTTGCCCAACTTGCTCATGGCTGTGGATCTGAGGGGCGAGGGGTCCCGGGAGAGTCTCAGGAGCGCCCGGGGCCGCGCCCGGGGAACAGGTGAGCGAGATCGTCCTCTGGTCTCGGGGGCCCAGAAACTGAAAGGCAGCGCTCCCAGGGAGTCAACAAGCCGTCGGGGGCAGGTGACACACACTCCTGGGCATTTCCTGGCAGCCGGCTGGGCCCCGCCCCTCCGCGCGGTTAGGGCGGGGAGGCCACTGGAGTAGGACGTGGCTGTCCGGTCCGGCGCCGCCCGGCCGTCTGGGAGTTAGGAAGAGCACAGCAAAGAGTTGAAAAGATTGCCGAGACTGCAACAAAGTTGCCGTTTGATCCACGCTGAGGACACACCTCAGGGGGAAGGACTGCCCCGTTTGTGAATGGCTCCGAGAAAAGCCCTTTTCCAGGGGACTCCAGCGGGGCCTCGAAGTGTGTGATAAGAGCGCTTTGCCGACCCAGATTTTTGAAAAGTGCTTTATTCCACGTATGTGTTTTTGTTTGTGACTGCTGTGAGCACAGTGTTTCTGTATTCAGATCTCTGACTATTCAGATGTGTTCGTCTAAGTGTATACCGTGTGGGTGTGAGTGTGCAAAGGCACGGGCTTCCAGGACGTTTTTCTGCCACTCGGAGGCAGGTGTGTGGCCAAGCGGCTTCTTCTAGAAGCCACGAGGCTGACTGGGCTTTCCCCTGCAGATGTAGACTCTGGCCAGGTTGGTATGTGCCTGGATGCCCGTTGGCATGGGTCGGTTCTGGATCATCCTCACATGGCTTGAAGTGGCTGAAAGGTGGTATTCATCTCTTTTCCTATCTAAGGTCAGGACACAGTGTGTTGCATTCAATTCTGTAATTAGGCGTCTGAAGCTTTCAGTGTGGATGCTGGCATATCAAAACCTTTAATGGAGTGCCATTGTGTTTGGATCTAAGTCAAACATCTTTATGAAGACACCCAAGTAACAAAAAGGAGAGAGGGTCCTAGAGAAAAGAAACGCTCTTCTGTTCATGCTCACCGATCTCAGTCCCATTTATTAGAGCTATAAGCAGAGAGTGGTGAGATGAAAGGACAGCAGTAGGTATTGATTATGGATGATGTCATACAATTGAACACCTGTGCTGAGCATGCTGCAAAGAAGTGGAATATGGAATGGAGTCTCTGTTCTAGTTTTTAAGAGCTAGTATATACTCCCACGTAATACACCCCTATTTGAGACACATTACCTAACATCATCAGAACCTATTTGTGATGTTAGCTAACCACTGATTGTTAAAGCAGGGGAAAAAAGCATCCATTACTATAACAAAGACACCTTGATACCCAGGATCAATAACCCAATTTTGCCCGCCATTATAGTAACACAGAAGCGGCAGGTTAATCCCTTTTATCCAACATTGGTGTAGCCAGCATCAAATTTTGACAAAGAAATACATTTTCACAGGAGGCTCACTCGTGTAGATCTCACACACACCAACATGTGAACGTATCATTTTCCAATAACTCCAGCTAGCCACCCCTTATCTTTTCCTGCCTGGCCATGCAAAGCACTTATGGTTGTAACACATATGTTACTATAATTTCATATGAATTATAAACTATAGGAAGTATTATATTTCATTATTATGTAAATATTTCATGAATATGTCTTGGAACTTAGTTTCTTGCTTAGACTCTAAGCCCGATGAGAGTTGAGAAGGAGCATATATTCTGCCACAGTTCCCATTGTTGGTCAGTTTAACCAATCTTTATTAAGAGTATTCGGTATGTAAGATACTAGAAATGCAAGTGTAATCTGCCCTCTAGGAGCTTACCTTCTAGTGACAGTAGTAACAACTGCTATCTTTTGAGCACTTACTATGTGACATGCATACTACATGCATCATTAATAACCACTACATAAACCACACAAAATATGAATTGCTATTTCTGTTTGACAGATAGAGAACCAAAAGCTTAACTGGTAACTTTGCCAGGCTCACACAGGCAGTTAGAGGGTAAGAGAGCTTTATATTTTAAAGCTTATGGTCTTTGCATTATTTACATGACCTTCTTTCCCTCTATATGGCTTGGTCTAGAGGAGAAACACATTAAATATTTATTTAGTTAAATAAAGTGGGGGGGTGAAGAGGCTGGTATGATGCATTAACTTTAAGGGATCCTACAAGCATTAATGAATTCATTGAGGGGTATATTTAAATAAGATCTGTTCCAGTATAGCAAAACATTCCTTTGTGGTTCACTAACAACTAGTTTTTGTTGGGAGAGCATTCAACAAGTGGAACAGAGGACTGAAAGTTATAATGAGGTATTGCTTAATCATTCTTCCATCCATGTTTCATTTAACAGATATTTATAGAGCATCCCTTTGTCCCAGGCATTATGCTAGATGTCGGAGAGACCATTAAGAACAAGATAGAAGCACACTTGGTGGCTCAGTTGGTTAAGTGTCCAACTTTGGCTCAGGTCAACATCTCATGGTTCGTGGGTTCTCCCCATGTCCGGCTCTGTGCCGACAGCTCAGAGCCGGGAGCCTGCTTTGGATTCTGTGTCTCCCTCTCTCTGTGTGCCCCTCACCCACTCACGTGCACGTGCTGTCTCTCTCCCTCTCTCTCAAAAATAAATAAACATTTAAAATTTTTTAAAAAACAAGAAAAGGAGATATTTTACAGTTTAGGGGAGAAGACAGGAGTTAAGCAAATGATCTCACAAAAAGTAGAGTTTATAAGCTAAAATCCTAGGAAGTTCTATGGAGAACTTAGAAATATAGAGAATTGTAAGAACAAATAATAGAGAAAGCTGATCTTTTCTTAGGAGGGTCAAAAAAAGGTAGCCTGAAAAGGTGATATTTAAGCTGGAATTAGGATGATGAAGACAAGTTACCTAGGTTTAGAGAAGGGAAATTGGTATACCAGGATAAGGAATCATTCATTCATTCATCATCTTTTTCTGAGTGCATACTATATACCCAACACAATTCTAGATGCTAGAGATTCAGCAGTGAAGAAAGAAAGATGAAAATCCATGTATTTTTTGCAGCCTACTTTCTAGTTAGGGGAAGATAGGCAATTGAGTAAGTAAGTAATGTACTATTTGTGTTATGCAGGAAAAATAAAGCAGGCAGTGTTAAAGAACTAAAATTTTAGACAATATGTGCAAAAATCTTGAATGTAAAATAGTAGGATTTGAAAGAAGACCAGGGTAGCTGGGGATTACCTTTAAAGGTAGGCAGAATGCAGATCACTTAAGGGTCCACATGATGTGCTAAGCGTCTTGTATTTTATGCAAAAAGCAAACGAAAATCAATCAGAAATTAAAACAAAGGACTTAGTCATTAATTTATCATTCAATTAAAAAAATCAATTTTATGCAATTTAATGTGTAGAAATGTATGTGGTATGCAAAGCAAGATACACTGAAATTAAAAAGCATTCCCTTCCATTAATACAGAACCTCAATGGGGAAAAGATAATTCTTGCAAGCAAGTAAACTGTCCAAATAAATATTAGTGTTTAATCCAGCAGTGGGATATAGAGAATAAATTTTTAAATCAATGATGTGGGAGCTGAAAATAACCCATTTATCTTCATTCAATCCTCACCCTACAAATGTGGTTTCATAAAGAGTTCTCAGCATCTAGTGTATTTTTCATTTTCTAATCTCAATTGATCTCAGTTAATAAGGAGGCTGTTGTTCAAAAGAATGATCTTGTTCAGGATGATTTACCATGGTTAAGATGGCAAAGGAAATTGGAAATTTATAGATCTGTTAAAAAGACCTACATGTCAGGCTAATTGATACATTTTGGCCACTGCTTGAAATTACATCCATTTTTAGAATGCCAAATGAATTCTCTAAAGCAACAGAAGAAGAATTACCCTTTAAACATACTGCAGAATCATCATCAAATAGTTATTTATTAGGCAGCCCAACAAGCATGTACACATTCTTTTCATCAGCAGTTCTTTTTGTTTCTTAGAACCAAATATTCATTGGACATAATAATCACAATAATGAGTACAAAACTAGCCCTTATGAAAAAATAATAATTTTGCAAAAATAACTTTTATTCCCCTAATTCATAATGAAGATATGTGGTGCCTGTGGTTGAGTTTTGCCTGCATAGCTCTTTACCCATGTTTTCCCATATCTCTGTCTATCCTTGATCAGAAAGCAGTTAAAGAATCTAAGGGTTATCAGATTTGGCTATAGAATGTTTTTGATACCAACCACTTAATGAATATAAAATGAGATGTAGCCCTCTGCCTCAAGATCACCCTTATTACATAATCTACCCAAAGGTGATTCTTACACCTCCCTTTATCTCCAGAATTTGGTTATACCTGAGTGCAATCACAAGAGATTTTGTGCTTCATCGAGGAACACACAAATGGTTTCCTTCTCTTCTTAATTAACAATACCTATAGCCTTCCTTTTGTTCAGATCAAAAACCCTGGTCATCCTTCACACCTCCCTTTCTCTCACCTCCATGCAATCCATTTGCAAGCCCCATGTGCTCTAACTCCTACAAAAACCCGGTCACTCGCCACCACCAACACTGCTCCGGGCCACTCTCCCCTCTCAGCTATCTATCACAGACTTCTAACTCACCTCCCTGTGATCATCTTGACTTTGCTGCTATTTCCCTACGTTGCAGCCAGAGTGAGCCTGGGTCAGACTTCCCCACCCCAAACTGACTTCCCATCTCCCTTCAGTAAAAAGCCAAGCCCTTCGCAAATGTCTTTAAGTCCCTACAGGGAGTGCTACCTACCCCCACCGTCACATCACCAGTACCTCCCTGTCCACATATCCTCCTCCACTGGCCTCCAGCCACACTGGCCTCCTCCCTCTGGCTGGACTTTAACCAGATGCACTCTCCCTTCAGAGCCTGGGCACTGCTCTTCTGTCCAGAAACCTGACCAGACATTGGTGTTCACTCCTTCACGTTCTGTAGCTCTCCATTTAAGTCTCCCGTACTCAATCCACCCGATTTGAAATTGCA